AGTCCTAGAACTGATTAGAGGAAGAGCCGATATCTCACTTTGTTGAGATATCCGCTTCAGATTCTTATCTCCTTGGTGAGACGGGAATTCTTATCGATCTTTCTCTCTTATTGTGCACCAGAAACTCTGCCGAAATTTCCGCTGCGCACAACAAGTGGTATCAGAGCCCAGATTCCAGATCTAGGGTTGATCTTTCTCTCTTATTGTGCACCAGAAACTCTGCCGAAATTTCCGCTGCGCACAACAAGTGGTATCAGAGCTCGGGCTACGCTTGGGCTATTTGGAGGAGTAGATCAATTTGGAAGTTCGACTAGGGCTTCGTTTGGTGAGAAAGGTGGGATCTTTTTGGTAAAGACTCTATCTTTTTAGTTTTGGATCTATTCTTCGTTCGTTGGTGCGTAAGATGTCGGGGAAAGAAGGTGCTTCGGGAGTCGAGGGTGGTTCTTCTGGCGTGAAGACTATTCAGAGTTTGAATATCCACTCTATGAAGATAGATGTGGAGAAATTTAATGGCACAAACAACTTTGGATTATGGAGATGCGAGGTTTTGGATGCGCTGAACGCGCAGAATTTGGAGGATACCTTGGAGTTAGATGGCAAGCCAGATGAGATTGAAGAGAAGGTTTGGAAAAAGATGAATCGAACGGCGTGTGGTGTGATTAGGTCTTGTTTGACTCAAGATCTAAAATATGATGTGATGAATGAGACTTCTGCGAAGAAGATTTGGGAGATTCTCGAAAGCAAGTATTTGACCAAGAGTGTGGAAAATCGCTTGCATTTGAAGATGAGACTTTATCGTTTCCAGTTGAAGAAGGGAACCTCCATTAGAGATCACATGAACCACTACACAAAGCTTCTTGCGGATTTGGCGAATGTGGATGTCAAGATTGAAGATGAGGACAAGGCGTTGCTGTTGTTGAGTTCCTTGCCCGACGAGGAATATGAAACCTTCGTCCTTACTCTGATTAATGGGAAGGCATCTCTTTCGTATAGTGAGGTCACTGCTGCATTGGTGAATTATCAGCTTCGGAAGAAGGATAAGGAGAATTCGACTGAGTCGGTAGCAGAGGCGTTGGTCGCAAGAGGGAAGAATCTGAACCGAAAGAATTGGAAGTCACAGTCTAGAGTAGGAAAAGATCAGTGTGCTTGGTGCAAGGAGACTGGTCATTGGAAGAAAGACTGCCCAAAGCTCGACGAATGGATGAAGAATAAGCAGAAGGGAAAAGGGAAGCAACCATCATCAGAAGCAAACATCGTATCGGATGGTAATAATTCTGACTCTTCTATTTATTCGCTTTCTATCAGTCCTACAGATAGCTATTCGGAGGAATCTGAATGGATGTTGGATAGTGGTGCGACCTATCATGTGTGCCCTAGAAGGGAATGATTCTCCAGTTTTTAGGAGCTGGATAGTGGTATAGTGTACATGGCTGATAACCGTGCATGCCAGATCCTTGGGATAGGAAGAATTCGCATCAAAATGTTTGACGGGACTGTTAGAGAGTTAAATGATGTGAGATATGTTCCTTCTTTGAAGAAGAACTTGATCTCAATTGGAGCTTTGGTTGGAGAGGGCCTGAATGTTCGAATTGAGGACATGGTTCTTAAGATTGTGGAAGACTCTCGGATTGTAATGAAGGGCGTCAGGAGGAATAAGCTGTATTACTTGACTGGAGGTATAGTGGCAGGTGGAGAGCTGGCGACTTCTATTGATTTGACTAGACTGCGGCATTTGGGGCTTGACCATTCCAGTATTGATTCCTCGCATAGATTGAAAGAGGGTGCAAAGACCTGCAGTTTGAAGTCCAGTGAACATGTTGATGTGAGCAAGAAGACCGAGGTGAAGTGTGGCACCTCTATTCACCGTGCTAAGGGTCGTTCTGGAGGGGTTCACGTGGATGTTTGGGGGCCTTCCAAGGGGCATCATTGGGAGGTAATAGGGCGTTTGGTTTCCTTTGTTGGTGGCTGTTCTAGGCGTGTTTGGGTTGCAACCAAATCCCCTTTGGAGAAAGTCCTAGTAGTATCCAACAGATTGAAGAAGTGTGTGATAGACAGAAAGGTGAAGGTACTCCATTCTGGTGGGAGGTACAAGATGGACCTATTTCTGTATTGGAGCCGAGCTCACGGCATTGCGAGACACTTCGTTGGAAAGGAAATCTTGGGGCAACTAGATAAGGTGACAAATTTGGAGAACCGTGCCGTGCTGGAGGAGGATCGGTGTTTGTGGTCGAGCAATGGTTTGCAGAAGAGTTTCTGGACAGAGGCTTCAACATATTTGGGTCATCCTATTAAAGAGTTGTCAACTGCTGTGATTGGAGGTAAAATTCTATTGGAAGATAGGTTTGGTAGTGTCACTTTGGTTGAGGCTTCGATGAGGAAGCCAATTGACTCTCAGCAGGTGAAGAGTTTTGGACAGACCTTAGAGGTATCGCAGCAGGTGGAGATTGATGCTACTCCACATTGGGTGGGGATTTTCCCACATACTCCAGGTTATTCTGCATTGGTTGGGATTCCAGCTGAGGTAACACAGCGTGGAAGTCATTTGGATTCAGATGCAGATGATGAGTTGGATTTTGACTCGAGTGCAGCTGATAGATGCAGTTTGGATATGACCATTGGTGGAGGTACTATCAGCCGTAGACTTGGTCGTGATGTTGGAGAAGGGTTACGAACTCTTCTAGTGGATTGAGGCCTTTGGAGGCCATTTGGGTGAACTACGTTCGGCTTGATTCCTTGGGCAAGAGGATACGTAGGCAGTCTTTATGATGCAGCCGGGTTTGGTTTTTGATGGGGGTGAGATCGATTTGGTGAGTTGATACTGACATTTGGAGAGTGTTTACATTCTCATTTGGGTTCTCGACTTGTTATGGATTGAGTCTGTTGTCGTGAATTGTTTCACGGTGTACTGGACACAACAAGTGAGACATTTGGTTTGGTCGGTGTCGGCTCAGTTTTGAAAAAACTTCACCGAGGTGGAGAATTGTGAACATGGGACCCATAAACCACACAAGCTTTGGAGAATTGCAAAGTCCAGCGGTAGCTGTTCTTTGGGTTGTTTTGGCGGCTGTTCTTGGGTTTTTGACGGCTGTACTTTTGTGAGGGGTTTGAGAGTATTTGTTTGAGGGTTTAGATTGAGTGATTGTAAACCCTAGTTGTATTCTCCCTCTCTAATAGTAGATCTCCCCCCTCCTTGCCCCGTGGACGTAGGCAGTTTGCCGAACCACGTAAAATTGATTGTTTGAGTTTGTGGCCATTGTAATAGTTTTTAGGATCCCTCGACAGGTCAGTCCTAGAACTGATGAGAGGAAGAGCCGATATCTCACTTTGTTGAGATATCCGCTTCAGATTCTTGTCTCCTTGGTGAGACGGGAATTATTATCGATCTTTCTTTCTTATTGTGCACCAGAAACTCTGCCGAAATTTCCGCTGCGCACAACAAGCTGCCCAGGGCAAGCCCCATGTGGCTCCGCTCCGCCACTGGGCGTGCTTGCTACTGAGTGATCGTGAAGTTTATATGTTGCTGAATTCTTCTAAATCTTATTGGAACATCTTACATATGAGCATTGTGTTATTAGTTTTAAAAGGGGCAATTGAAATCTCTTAGCTGCCAATGTGTACTCTTGTGGATGGCTTAGAATTCTCTGCTCGCGTGCAAAATGCTCGGATAAAAGTTGTATTCTATTACCACTAAGCTTTTCTCTTTAATAAAAAAATAAAAATAAAAAGAAAAGGGGAAGTCATGTTTCCTTCTGAAGCTATTTGCAAGTTAGTCAAGGGTTTTCCCGATAATAACCCCTTGCATCTTTCATATTTTGTAACTAGACCGTCAAATTATTAAAACTGATATTATGTATTATTCCTAAGTTAATTTATGGGGAAATCACACTAAATCCCAATGATTTTTAACTTTTTAAAGTAAACCCCCAATAACTTCTGAATCACACTAAACCTCAATAACTGGAATTGTAAAACAAAACAAAAGCCCTATAAGTTTCTGCATTCAGCAGATGACCCTGTAATTTATAACAAAAAACAACATAAAAAGGCATTTTGCAAGTTATTGGGTTTAGTGTAATTTATCCAAAAGATATTAGGGTTTTTTGCAAAAGCTATAAGAGGTTTAGTACTACTTCGAAATATATTAGAGGTGTAGTACAAACACTGAAAGGTCTTAAGGGTTTAGTGTAATTTACCCATATTTTAAAATTATCTATTTAAATAACTGAAATTGCTAATATGTCTTCAATTCGTAATTACTCTCTCTTATCAAAAGTAGAAGAAAAAACTAGAGGAGTTAATTTGAAACAACTAAGGAGAATTGAAGGGATTAGTTTAAACCAAACTTACAAAAAGCATCCATTTATTCATATCCATTTGTAGTTTTTAACAGTATCTAGCTGACGTTTTCTTTGGAAACTATGACAGAACTTTCCTACATATAGACGACTTGATTGATCAGAAGTTACTAGTAAGTGAATCATTAGGAATCTATCTCACTAATAAGTAATAAGGCAATAACTTCATTATTGATATGGACACAGGACACATGGATAAATAATGTTCATATCTAACTGTGTCCCGCATCACCCCTGCGCATCAACCGTGCACGTATAGATAAACAATATAGACAGTAGTTATCCTATCAGAACCGTCCATATATGAGCGGACATTTTTGACCTACAATGCAAAAAAACAATGAGCTAAAACGGAAATGATTTTTGTCACGCGAGATGGGTGCGTGATCCCGTCTCGCGTGACAAATAGAAGGACTCGAGCTAAAATTGGAAATTTGCCTAACATTTGGGGATCAGAACTGCGCGATCGCATGCCAACGGTTTTAGTAGGAAGTGTGATTCTGTATGGAACCTAGTGGCTTTTTAGAAAGAAACGAAATGATACATCATCCCTTTATATCCTTGTGTACCTTTTGTCTCAAACTTTCAGCTTGTTTTCCTTAAACAGGCCAAAGTAGCCCCCGGTCTCTTAGACTCTGGACTAAAAACCAGCAGCAGTTGCTGGCTGGGCTCCTCTGTAACTATAAAAACATCCCAAGTGCCTCTACATCCTCCCATCAACCGAACACAAATATTTCCCTCTATTTTCATCAGAAGTACCCAATTGATTAGAAAGAAGTTTGTAAAGAGATGGCAACTTCAGTAAGCAGAGCATCTTGGATCGTGGCTGCAAGCGTGGGAGCAGTTGAAGCACTCAAAGATCAAGGAGGAGCGTGCAGATGGAACTATGTGTTGAGATCCCTCCATCAACACGCTAAGAGCAACATAGGTTCCTCTTCTCAAGTCAGAAGAAAACTTCCCGCTTCTGCTTCTTCTTCAATTGATAAATTAAGGGAAGAGAGGAGACAAGAGAAAGCTAGGCAGTCTGAGGAGTCATTGAGAAAAGTTATGTACTTGAGCTGCTGGGGACCCAATTAGATGGATATATAGATTGATGTTAGGGTCAAAGCACGGAGATGGCCCAAAGATCAAATTAAGAGATCGGTTGCCTTCGATTCTTCTTTGATTTGTACACAATTTTGAAAATAAATTTAGCTGCAGTTTTAGCAAAACTCTTTTTAGTTTCTCTATTTCATTTCAGTTTCTTTTTGCTGGATGTGTGGAGTATT